CTTGTTCTATAAAATCCAAGTAACTATGCCAATTATCAAGCTCTGCAACATTTAGTGGTCTAACATGAAAGTAGGGCCTTCTGATAGCTGTTTCAAAACCAATGATCTTAGAATCGAACTCTTTAGCTTTCTTATAGATTTCTTCTCTAATGGCGATATACTTCTCCAACTCCTCTGCTTCTGTTAAGCCAGCACTTACAGTTTTAGATGATGGTTCCGTGGCATCAGGATGACCTTCCTCCCCATTTACTTGATCACCAGCCTCTGATTGCACATCTAATACAGCCTCCTCAGAACTCTTCAACTCTGACAATGGCCGATTTGCAGCCAACTCCTTGAAGCTGCAACACATTTGCATCGTGATCCAAAGGGAAAAGGACATTTTAGATTATTTATCAAGGAAAGAAGTTTAACAAAGCTATATGGATTAGTATCAATCCCATACAACCATCTATCTGAATAGCTTTCCCTGACACAGAATGTAATTCAGACAACAAAAGGGTGTATAACCCCCAGCCTGCAACAAAATGTTGACTTAGCAAGTATGACAAGTTCATCTAAGAGTAGCAACCAAGTTCAAAAGCAAAAGAATTAAGATCACCGGAAAAGGCAATACCAAATTATTATGACAGACAGTAATATTGTCCGGATTCGCAAGACTCACCTATTGAAATACCGATCCAACTGTTGATTTGGATTTTCTAGTATACGTGTGTATATCATAGCCAGTCGACCCCACTCCTGCTGCGTGTACTCGTATTCAATATATTTATCCCAAAGGGGAAAGGAGAGGTAATCTGTCCCAACATATGCTAATCCTCTCTCAAAAAGCCTGAAATATCATCAACCAGGAAAAGGTTATTAAGTAACTAAAGATCATCAAGTGGTGCAAAGTATTCACAAAACAGAAACAACTGCACTAACGTTGAAGGTGAAGGAACAATTTACTCTAACAGCATATGACACTTCAGCATGCTGCAATTACCTTCCTAAAAATCAAATTATGTCCGTGAATGAAGCAATGATAGAGGCCATCTTAGCCCATAACTGAACGTGATATTCCCAGCAGCAATTTGTATATTGATGCATCTCAGTGGACCAAGGTTAAACAACTGCTGTAGTTCACCATAACTACAGACTAAGGCATAATCCACAATAGACAATGGGAAATTGACACTATATCTTTTATTAAAAATAACTTTAAAAAAGGCATATAACGTTGTAACCCCATATCATGGGATGCACATTGGAACATGCAATTCCAATCTATATTTCAATCAAATCTTTCCACCTTACATGTAGGAAATCACTGGTACAGCCATCTAAACAGAGGTTACAAGCAAAGAGAAGAAGATTGTTATCAGGTCCAAGTAACTAAGAGTCATAGTATTGGTACACCAGGAAATGCAAATAGGAAAACAGAATGCTATACCTTCTGATGGTCTCTGGATCTCCATATGTACTAAGAGTGAATATGCAGTAATGCAGCCAAATATCAACCGAGTAGGTGACCCCATGCACTGCTCGTTCATACACCTCAACAACTTTGTCAGTTGAACCAAACCGTGCCTCATGATCTGCATACTTCTTCCAATAACCATAGCATAAAGGAAATTCTGCTAAAAAGGCATCATAAACTCGCCGGATTTTGAGTATGTTATCCTGAAAATATTCCAAAACTGGAATAAGTCTTTCCATAAAATGGTAAACCATAATACTTTTTAATATTTGTTCTTGCATACCTCAGCCACCTTCTCTGTCTCTTCGATCAAAGAAGTCCAAGCATTAAAATCTAGAGAATTGGCCCTCACAATGTTCCACAGTCTATCTTCTTCAGCAGATAATGGAGGTACTGCCAAAAAAAGGTGAGGAAATATTAGGCAACAAAAAGAAGTAATTACTGATAACAGTAATCAAATAGAAAGAAGTTTAGCGACAATGTAACCTAAATATGCACATTATTTTCTTCATATATTTATAAAGGTCGAGAACAAGCTCTCACCCTGAGCAGCAACATGAGAGTGAATAATGCCTCACGTCCATAAACCAAGGTATCAAACAAAAAGTCAAAGACAATAATGGATCAAAATGCGCTTGGAGGCAGTAATTGAGTCATAATAATGATAACAAGGAAACCAAAAGAGAAGATGAGCAGCAACGTAAGCCAAACTAAAGGTTCCTCAGATCCAGGAAGAAACGTGTAAATGTTTCATAATCATGGAAATGATAATGTGACTAGAACCTAAACTAAAGCTAAACTAATGCTAGAAAGTCGAGAACTTGTTAAGAAGATAGTAGAATAAATATAATGTCTCAAACCACCCTGAATTATTTTGCAATTACAGTCTTCTCTTTATTATAATGTTGGCTTTATGGAAGACAACTTTGAAGGTGGTTTATTTTCTCTTTCCAACGAAGTTGAAGACAGGGATTTAACCCCTATTTCTCAGCAATCCTTCTTGTTCATCTAATCCCACTGAGAGTGGTTCTAAGCCAAGGCCCTTAACCTCTAGTTCTCGAAGAAAAAGATTTTTTAGATTACGTTAATCAAGTTGGTGTTACTCTTCTTCCTATCAAATAAAAAGACGGCTGCAAGTGGGCTTGAGGTCTAGGTAGTTGTTATTTCTAGGATTTATGGTTGCTAGTTTTATGTTTTTGAATTCTCCTTTTGAAGGCTGTTTCATCGAAAATTCATCTATGAATGAAAACCGGAAAAACATTAACTTTTAACATAAAATGTAAATTTGATGTTCTTTCAAGCCCCTTTTCAGCGAACCTTACAAGCTTATTTTATTTCACACAAGAAATAATTTTTTTTATGAGACAGTAAATAATTTGGCTGAAGCGTACGGAAGTAAATGACGAGGCTGTATCTACCAAGACATGAGCAGGATCCTAGCAATAAGTACTCCAGAACCTCTTTAAAAGCATGAAGCATATACCATCACAAGTGACTAACTAATACTAAGAGAAACAATGCTACCATCGAGAGATTAATCATCCAGATAAAGAGTACCATCAATTTCTAGTTACTTTCTTTTCCATTCTAAGGAAACATCCATTTTTAGCTACCAACAGTCTAAACTGTATCCAGATACAAGATCCATTAAAGAGCAGAACTATCTGAATGCGCTTCTAAAGCACTGTTAGGATCATTGATCACAATGTATGTGCTTTTTTTATCCATCAGATGCTTGATTTTAAGTATTTAGGTCCCTCTGATATTTAATTACGAATATATGCATATTTTGGATATCTCATCTTGCCTCATAGTCGAAGGTGTTTGGGTACTATCTACTTGTCTTTATAACAATAGGACGAAAAACTAACCTGAAGACTTCAATACAATAGGAAGCTTAGAAGGAAAAGCTTTTTAAGATTTTGAAAAGATAGGAGGACACATCTTTAAGAAACAAAATGCAGAACTCTTCATTGCTTCTCAAGAAGCTTCATTACTCTTAAGAGTTCAGAAACATAACACTTTTGCTTCGTGTACCCTCAAAATTGCAGAACCTTTTAGATTGATTTTTTTTTTTTTCTTTTTTCTTTTTTCTTTTTTCTTTTTTTGCCTGCCCCATTTGTTAAAATGCTTATTGCCAAATGAAATTCTCATGAAATGCAGGAAACGAAAAACGAGAGACACATACCAGAACCATCAACAAAGTATTGTTCCTCAGAAGCCTCGTTGGTATTCTCAACAGCATTCCCGTTCTCAACAGAAAAGGCATTGTCCGATACAGCTGCAACGCTTCCATTTAAAGAAGAATCGTGACTGACTACTTCAGCAGTTTCCATTGCTGAATTTTCTGATACAGCATTATTCTGACTATGGTCAGTCACTCCTACAGATACCATCGCCTCATCTACCTCACCAACATGATTTCCTTGCTGAATAGAATTGGGATCCGTAACATACGCATTGCCATCACTCATATCTGCATATATAGGTGTAACTTTAAAGTCTCCAGTGATCACAGATAGAAAAACGCCGGGATAAGAAATTAGATTTGTACTGCTATCAGCATAGCCACTCGAAACACAGCCAGCAGATGTATACCTAATGAATTCAGATGTTTGGGCAACTATAGTTTCACTGTCCCCCATGCTTAAACTACTAAAATAATTCTTTGCTAGCCTAACTGCATGCATTTAAACAACTATCGCATAAAATTTATGCAGAGAGGGACGAAAGACAAAGAAGAAGGAGGTGGCCTTCAAAAATTAAGCTAGAATCCTAAACCCAGAAAAACAAAAGATATTGTGCTTGAATTAAACAGCAGCCCCTTTACTTCAGAAGCATCAACTCTGGTATGTACATTAGTTTGAATCAAACCCAAAAACAAAGAAGACATGGAAAGTTAACGATAAAACAAAAAAAATTAATGGCGCAGAAGAGCATAGCAGAACATACAATCAGTTGCGAACATGACAGAGCAGTAACATGACCAACAAACATAATAGCCATAGAAAAAGATGAAACTTCCAGAACATCCAATCGAGGAGCAGTTGTACAAGAGGAAGCAGAAGAACTTACCGAAAGGAAGAAGAAGACGAGGGTGTGGAGTGGAGAGAGGAGTGGAAATTGATGGAAGAAAAAAACCAAATGGGTGTGCCCTTGAAATGCGAAGCTAATTGAGAATTCGAGAGAAAAGGAGCTTAGACTCCCTCTGCTTGATTTTTGAGGAGTCGAGGGCAGAAGGGCGATGGAGATTACCGTTTTCCCCTTCGCCATTATAATGCCTTACTGGGCCTATCCACTGTAAATCGGCCCACCTCAATCCGAACCTGTTAGATTGGGCTTCTACCAAATTTTGGTCGCTCGACAAAATTTTAAATTGTTTTTTCAATATTGTTTATACCAAAAAAATTTGCGTTAAATAAAATATTAGTTTATACCAAAAAAATGTTTGCGTTAAATAAAATAACTACGGTGAATAATAATAGGCCAGGGGCATTTGTGAAAATAGCTATAGTTGATGGGGTAGTTATGTAAAAACCCTAACTTTCGTGCCACCCAGAAACCCTAGAGCTCTGAAAGTGGCGTCATGCATATAAAATGTAGTGGCCATCCAAGAGGCCGCGGGAGAGACGCCGAAGTTCATCAGCAATGTCGAAGCGAGGTTCTCTTCTTCTTCATTACTCTTTGTTCTTACAGGCGTCTCATTGATTAAACTAAATTAAATCTGTGTTATTTTTTGTTCCATTTTGATTCCTATGCTCGAACTAACTTGAATGCTCCCACAGGAAGGGGAGGATCCGCCGGGAACAAATTCCGGATGTCACTGGGTCTTCCAGTGGCTGCTACTGTCAACTGTGCAGACAACACAGGAGCTAAGAATCTATACATCATTTCAGTGAAGGGGATCAAAGGTCGCCTCAATAGGTTGCCATCCGCATGTGTCGGCGATATGGTTATGGCCACCGTCAAGAAGGGCAAGCCTGATCTCAGGAAGAAGGTCTTGCCTGCTGTTATTGTTAGGCAGCGCAAGCCATGGCGCCGAAAGGACGGTGTCTTCATGTATTTCGAAGGTTTTGCATGTTTCCATCATTTTTTCAATTTTATTTCTTTTGGGTTTTTTTTTTTTCTTTTTTCTTTCCCTCCATTAGGCAGCGCTAAATTGTAAGTCATAAAGAGGCTGAAGGCCTTTTGTTATATTATCGTTCTTGTGTTCTTCTTAAATTGATCTAAGCTGCTTCTTTTTAGCTAATCTAAGTTGTAAGCGTATAGAAAGATAAGTTTACTGATTTTTTTTGTCCAAGCATATAAAAACTGCTGACTTTCATTCTTTAAATTGATTTATTGATTGGGTATATGGTGTGGTTGCAATCAGGAACGCTTCAGTTCTTTGGCTGTTGACATTATTTAGAGTTTAAAATTGTTCATTGTCTATGGTAAATAATTCCCGCATGATCTGAATCGAAGTAATTATAGCTACTGATGTTTGTTTTAAAATGAGTTGGTTTTTTTTTTTTTTCATACCTTGTTTTGCTTCAAAATTTCAAGAAGTAGAAGTCTTGAAATGGGTTACACTCTAAATAGTGCATAGAATGAATACACTGTTTATTTATACTATTTATCGTACTTATATTGCAATTGCAATATCCTACCTTCTTCAAAAATATTTGTTGTGTTTTCTGACATGAATGTATTGTATTTTTTTCTTTCCTCCAGATAACGCTGGTGTTATTGTCAATCCTAAGGGTGAAATGAAAGGTAATGATTATTTTTTTTTGAAATATTAATTTTTATTGTTGTATTTTTATACGATCAAGGCATTGGGTCGGTCTGAAAGGTAATCTCTTTCTGGTCTGGAAGTATAGAATGTTGTAAATATGTGATATGTCACGGTCACGGAAGATGGTAATCTTGAAGGTTTGCAAATTGTTTTTGGAGGATGGGGGGTGGATAAACCACGTTGAATAATCATTTGCTTATCATTTTTTTACAAGTTTCATCCTTTTTAAGAAAACATTCGACTTCTTAGCCAAATTTCAAAAACAAAACAAGAATTTATTTTTGTTTTCCTTTAAGTTTTCATTACTTTGTTTTTTAGAGCGCAATTAAAAAGTAGATGATATAACAAGGAACCTCATAGATGGAATGGGGGCTAATTGTTTTAACTTCATTGTTGAACAATTCACTGGTTTTAATTTCAGCCTCTGCCTAAGAAATATATTTAATGTATTATATCTTTAGGCAATATAGTTGATTGCAAATTAACTGATGGTCTTTCATGAAGCCTGGATACTCTTCATGATGAACCTGTATGTGCTTAAGTTGATAGAAATCCGTACCTATTTCTCTCTTACTGTACGATACTGGCACTGGTAGATTGAAGTATTTACAACGCTGTTTCCTTTGATTGCAGGTTCGGCTATTACCGGCCCCATCGGGAAGGAATGCGCTGATCTGTGGCCAAGAATTGCTAGTGCTGCTAATGCTATTGTGTGAGAATCATTATAGGTTGTACGATGTTTTAGGAGTGAAATTTTGCAATTTTCCTTCCAGGGTCTATTTTGTTTCCTTGGGTTTGCCTCTGCTATGTTAGACACACACAGATGCAAGCTTAGGTTTGAGGTTTCTTAATCTAAATGGATCACTCGAATTGCTGTTGAACGTTTTGCCAGTTCTATAGATACGAAGGACTCCTGTTTTTTTTAGTAAGTTTTTTGCTGTTCTTCATCCGCTCTTGTTGGATACAATGTTACCATTTTCTCCATGAGCTTGATGATGAATTCCCCATCAAACCCCATAACCACAACCTTGATGAATAAATTATGATACCATTTCAGAGATGGTCATTAAACAATTAATTCATCACAACATTCAAAACCATACTTGAAACAATTAAGAGTATTAACTACCTCAATAACGTAAGAGTTAATAATATATTATAATTTAAATAAAAATATTTAGAGAAGGAATAGAAAATTTTCCTAAATAACTGCCTTTAATAATATATTATAATTTAAATAAAAATATTTAGAGAAGGAATCCAAAATTTTCAAAAGTTGGAACTAAATAAATCCAACCCTATCAAAGTTAAGAGGGTAAGTTCCAATTTAATATAATTTTAATTAACTTATTTTTTTTCATACATCATAATTCAATACATAATAATAATTTAGCTTTAAGAAAAATGTAATAATAGTTCATCAACATTATTTAGTTTCCTCTAACTACGTTGTCGGTTAAAAATTAATTGAATATTTTTTTAAAAATAAATAAATAAAAACTGGAATGATAGAGGCTCGAACTTATAACTCAAAGTTATGAGACCTACATGCTAAAATCAGTTAAAAATCCAATATAATAATACAAATCAGTTAAAAATCCATCCAAAAACGATAATTTAATATTATAATTAATTTAATAAAGAGAATTAACTAACATATATGTCAATTAGTATTTTTCTTCATAAATGATTTGAGGTCAGATGTATAACTTTCAACTTCAAAGAAAAAGGAAGAAGCATGTGGAAATTATCGTTAAATTAAATTTAAATAAGGTATTAAGTTGTGAATTAATTCATGATGTTTTAATAATTGTGTATATTTAATCCACCAAACTATTTTATTTTATTTTATTTAAAAAGTTATTATTTATGTTAAAGTTGATATTTAAATAAGGACATGACATGATTTTGGTAATTTGCTAAAAAAAAAAAAAAGTTTGTCTATTTGAAGCCATATTTAATACAAATAAAATACCCATATGAAGAAAAATTAAAGTTAGTGTTTTATAAAGAGAAAATGAAGGCGTGGAGATGGGGGAAATGAAGAATCTTTTTTTTGTTGTATTCTAACGTTCTAACAAAAGTCGGGTGAACCTAAATCTTTTTATACTTAAGGACCAAAATCTAATAGAAAGAAAAAATTCCGTTAAGCTTTTTATGTAAGATCGACTTTATTGTTGGAATCTTGACAAACTGTTGTTCGGTGTCGAAGACGAGTGGGAACACTCTCTCATATTGCATGCTTTTTCCATCAATTTAACAAGCTAGTTTTGAGGTGGTTGCTCCCGTGGGATCACTCCTTCCAATAAAATTTTGTGTAGGGTTACGAAGTCTCTACGTTATTGGATTTGGAGGATTTTATGTTGTGTGGTTGTCTATTACGTATGAGCCACATTCGTGGCTCCAGCTCAACCTTACCACTAGCAGATATTGTTTTATTTTAGTTTTCTCTTCTAAGCTTTCCCTCACGATTTTAAAACGATCTACTTAGGAGAACTTCCCATATCTTTATAAAAAAATGTTTTGTTATTCTCTCTAAATCAACGTGGGATCTGGCGGTGGTTCTGAATGAATGATTCTAAATATTATTAGGTCGAATTTTGATTTAATAGAGAAAAATGAGTTAATTATGGTAAAATAAAAAAGATCGGTAAAGTTTGAATAAACACGGAAACTAATTTTGGAAATAATTGTATATTATAAAAAAGAAATTCTGGAGCTAGGGGTCCGCTACTTCCCCCTCTCCGAACCGATCTCTCTGCCTCCGGCTAAAAGAGAGCGCACCCATTTCGTTCTGCTACGTCTCCGGCGGATCGTAGAGCTGCTTCCAGTGCCTGGTTCTGAAGGTTCTTTTGCAGATCGTATCGATAATTCTCTCGTACACGTCTCAGAAAAGCATGGTGAGAGGGTTGCTCAATAAGCTCGTCTCTCGATCTCTTTCTGTTGCAGGCAAATGGCAGCAACAACAGCTGCGCCGTCTCAACATCCATGAGTATCAGGTGATTATTTTCGGATAGTTTCTTTTACTATTAGCATGTTCTGGATTCTGATTTCGGGGCATGTTTCGCCTCCTAGAATTTTGGGGACTTTTGTTTTTTTTGGCTGCTTATTGCAGTTGATTTGAAATCTGTGAAAGAAATTTGATTTTTGCACGAACTCCTTTTATTTTTATTGTGGAGATAGGGGGCTGAGCTGATGAACAAATATGGGATCAATGTACCCAAGGGTATTGCTGTTTCTTCTGTTGATGAAGCAAAAAACGCAGTGCAAACTGCTTTTCCCGATGCGAAAGAGGTAAGCATGTGCCTTCCAGTCTCTTTTTATTGTCCCACGATGGCACGTTTCTTTCTTTGGGCGTCTGCAAATTTTGAAATCACAAAAAATAGAAACCATTGAAGTTAGAGTATGACCTTTTTTTTGTTTAGGATCTGTTCTATAGGCTGTACAACTGTGTGCCCTTAAGTTCTTAGGAGACATTGGTAACATCACTTAATATATTAGCAAAAACTTAGCCAGTTAAGTGAAGCATTAAACAAAATTTGATATTGTGCAGTTGGTCGTTAAAAGTCAAATTTTGGCTGGTGGAAGAGGTTTGGGAACATTCAAAAGCGGCTTAAAGGGTGGAGTTCACATTGTGAAGGTGGATCAGGTTGAAGATTATGCTGGTAGGATGTCCTTTTATATTTTCATCCTTCTATAAGGTTCTCAGTTTTCAAATTATTTGAAGATTTCTAGTTCTACAAAATAACCCATCAGTGTTTTTCCTATCATTGGATGGTTACATATAGATACGTATTTCCTGACATCTTGGAACTAGTATCAGGGTTATTTGTGAAAGCCAAGTCGTCTATTGTATCTTATCAAATTAAGTATTACTTATCCGGTTAAGTTTTCTTAAGTGTGGAATTGACAACGCGAATGGAGTATTTCAATAAGATTATTGCCCCCTCTTTTTCATCATCTGTCTGCAGGAAAGATGCTTGGCCAGATACTTGTCACCAAACAAACTGGTCCCCAGGGCAAAGTTGTGAGCAAGGTATTATAGGTCTTTTCACTCTTTATAATCCCTCAAGTTCTTTTATTCTTAATCTTCCTGAATAATGTAAATGTCTAGCTATAACAGATCTGATGTATTCTGTTTTCCTGCCCTGGTATTTGTTAACTTATATAACTTATGAGTGACTTGTATTTTTATTTGTGAGATTTGACACGATTTTCATGGGGCTTATACAGTAAAGATCTAGATGTTTTAACAAGACTAATTTAATTTAAATTTCTTTATTTTCTTTGTATATTTCAATGCAGGTTTATCTGTGTGAGAAGTTGTCACTTATCAACGAAATGTACTTTGCTATCACTCTGGATCGTATAACTGCTGGCCCAGTATGTTCCATTACCACATTTGGCTATAGCTCATTTGTTTCTAAAATGTTATGTCTACTTTGTTTTTGCAGTGAATTTTCAGTTTTGTTATTTCTGTTTCTTAACTTAGGTGTATCCTAAGGAAGACTTTGGTTACAAAGTACATGTTAAATAAAAAAAAATTTAACTTGCTTTATTTTCAGCTTATAATTGCCTGTAGAAAGGGTGGAACTAGCATCGAAGATCTTGCTGAGAACTTCCCAGATATGATTATAAAGGTTGTTATTTCGTCTTTGCATGTTTGGCATTGTTGCCAAGAGAGTGCAACCTTTTCTTCCTCTGACATTTGTGCCACTTAATGATTCCTTACCCAACCATTTCTTTCTACTTTTGAAGGTACCTATTGATGTTTTCCAAGGAATTACGGATGAAGATGCTGCGAAGGTCGTGGATGGTTTGGCTCCCAAGACTGCTGATAGAAAGGATTCAATTGAACAAGTGAAGAAATTGTATAAACTCTTCTGTGAATGTGACTGTACGCTACTGGAAGTAAGTTGCAACTTTATTAACTTTATTTTTGCAATTTACATAATGCTTGATTTGCTCCACTCTAGAGCGTTAATCTGATGATCCCAACGACCTGATTTGTTGCAGGTAAATCCCATGGCGGAGACTTCTGAAAATCAGCTGGTGGCTGCTGATGCTAAGCTAAACTTTGATGATAATGCCGCATTCCGTCAAAAAGCAATATTTGCTCTTCGTGATCCAACTCAGGAGGATCCTCGAGAGGTCTGGTTTTCCTTCTTTATGTAGAGGAGAATACTTTCTTGATTCTATGGAGATATCAATATGAAAATAAAATCAATCAGTTTTTCTTTTTGTGAAAATTGCCCTAACTTACAGGTGGTTCAGTAACTATACCAGGAAATTTTTAATTTGATTCCCCAACCTTTTGAACCCAACCAACCTTGATCATTGCCGGTTCTTTTAAACACTTCCTTATTACTTTCAAGGAATCCTCACCCACTCTCCAGTCCCTGATTTTTTTAATTTATTATGTAATTTATCATGTATTCAATAACGTAAATTATTCCTGAAATTCTTTATGGAGTTTGAGCTGGGATCTGCAGTAATCTTGTACTGCATCAGGATTTTGACAAGAGATATCATTTTTTTGGAGCCCTCACCGCACATGGTTGCATGGAGACAACCACTAAGGGTTAGCATAGTAGTTTTGTGGCCAACGAAAAAAGTACGGGACTTAAAAGAAATGGGTACAAACCATAGTAACCACCTATTTAGGATCTTATATTCTATAAATTTTATTAACAATTGACAACCAAATGTTATAAGGTCAGGTAGTTATCCCATGAGATTAGTCAAGATGTGCGCGATCTTAGCCCAACACAAATATAAAAAAGAAAAAAAGGTTGCATGGAGACTGTTTTTTTAGCCTTAAAATTTAAGTAAAACTTTGGGTGTCACCTAAACACTTGGCAGTTTAAAATGACTTTCAGCTTCTGCTGTCGGTTCAACATTCTCCTAAGAGTATGTGCATGAGTG